GTCTGGGGGTCGCGCAGACGCAGAGGGTCGCACACGTCGCGTGCGCACGCGCACAACCGCACAGCCGCGTAGCTGCGATCTTGCTGAAAACGCCTGGCGAGAGGGTGAGCGGCTGCTACAATGTCGGCGATGCAGGAGCTGTCCGAGCTGTACGAGGAGAGCAATGACCTGCAGATGGATGTGATGCCTGGCGAGGGTGACCTGCCGCAGATGGAGGTAGGCGGCGGGAACCGGGAGCCATCGCCGAACCACTCCCGCAACCGGGCCGCGCCACAGCTCGAGGAGGAAGGCCCCATGGAGGAGGAGGGGGCCCAGCCAATGGCGGAGCCAGAGGGAGGCCGAGGCCTTGCCAAGCGGCCCAGCCCCGGGGAGCAGCCGGGCGCGATCGCGGGCCCCGACTTCGACAGCGAGGACGAGGGCGAGGAATTTGACGACTGGGAGGACGACTACGACTATCCGGAGGAGCAGCTGAGCGGGGCCGGCTACAGAGTGTCCGCGGCCCTCGAAGAAGCCAACAAGATGTTCCTGAGAACATCCAGAGCGAGGGAAGCGGCCCTGGATGGCGGTTTTCAGATGCATTACGAGAAGACCCCGTTCGACCAGTTGGCTTTCATCGAAGAGCTTTTTTCACTTATGGTCGTCAATCGCCTGACCGAAGAACTCGGCTGTGATGAGATTATTGATAAAGAGTAGTTAAATGCTGTTACAAGAGGAGGAAACTACTTGAGGAGAGACCCAGCATTCCACTGTCTCTTGGGTTTATTCCAGATAGTTCCGTGCCAATGAAAAACTTGGTCTTCAAAAAAAATTTTTTTTTTGTTTTGCAGAATTAGAATAGGGCAGTGACTGCACAGTTGCGAAAAAGAACTGTTAAAGAAAAAGGATCTTAGGACGGTTGAAACCTGTTTTCAAGAATATCCTGAAACACCTACGGCTTTGACTTTGTGGTTGATCCAGATTATTTTCTTTGCATTGGAGAAAATTACTTCCATATTCACTGTAAGGAATGGTTTTGCAAAAGTAAGTCGTGACCCAGACAAACTGACAGTACAAGAGCCCACTGACATTAATTACATGAGAAGAAGTAATATATCCAACTTAGGACACCCGATGTCTTTAGTTATTTGGACAGAAAGCCTATTGAGAAAACTTTGAAGATTCCACTTTGTGATCTATCCAAGCTATAGTTATCAAAGGCTAAATTTTTAGTGTGTGATAAATTGAATATTCTTAGTATCTCAAAAATATAAGCAAAACCCAAAAGAAATATGTATCATGTGTACTGTATCTTAACATGTTTCCAAGGGCATCTGAAATTTTATTTGTACATGTATCTTGATTATTTACAAAGCTGTGATCTGTAATTCAAGAAAATTCATTATCTTTACCATTTTTTAAAAAGTCAAAAATGAAAAAATGCTTAGTAAATTTTCCAATTCAGACATTAAAATGTATGGGAAAGTACAAACAAAACAAACTATTTCTAATACTTTCATACCCTAGAAAAATTTTCTGTTTTTGTTGCTCTCTGTTTTTCATTTAACTTTACAGGTAAAAGACTGGTTGAACTTCATAATGAAAGAACTGTTAAGTGAAAATTGTCAAGTAAAAGGAAGGCCCTACATTTTAAAACAACTATATGAACAATTATGCCGTCAACCTTTAGAAGTTTTAAACCTTTCCAGAAATTTCTGAAGTTTCCCTCTGTCTCCTCCTCTAATTAAGCTTGTTATTGGTTATACACCAGCATTTGAGATAATAAAATTTCTTGTTCTGTGTACTTTGTTTGGCTAATAATTAATATGCATACATACTTTATATACTATTTTTATTGTATTCTATTTTATTGTATAATTGCAACCACTTTATGATTTAAATTTAACCACTATAAGGGAAAGTGTTCCAGCTTCAAATACGTGACTTGCAAATTAATTTGTGGAAACTAAATTTAGTAAATTCCTATAAGAATTTGCCAGCCTGGAAAACCTGCTCTATTAATGAGCATGTTGCTGTGGTTATTTTATTAAGGTTCTAAACTTCTATGATAATTATGTCAGAAGGCTGTGACCAGTAAAACAGTATATCGGCAGGTCTTACGATCAATAGAAACGTACTAGACGCTCCTCCATCATGGTAGTAAAAGACAACAATTGGGAGCCTTAGAGAGGTGGGTGGTTTTCTGTAAAATACGGGATTGACAGGGATGATCATAATCACACTAGCTTGGTGGGGAGGAAGAGAGAGAGGTGGGGAAAAGGCCAGACAGGAGGTAACACTTTGTAATCCTGCCTCCCCCATACCTCACTTCTTTTACTGCATTTTCAGACAGCTTATAGCTGCAGTTAGGTGAGTCGGGTTAAAGAACAATTGCTAGTGTGATGGGGGATAAAGGACGCCAGTACACAATGAACTGACCAGCAGCATTTACCTCCAGGTAAAGATGTCAGGAAATAGGCTCAGGAAAAAAACAGGTCTACAAACGGGGGTGTGATTCTGTTTCTCTGGGACCGACGGGAGCAAGAGGAGGGGAAGGAAAAAACCACTCCCTGTTGGGTTTCAAGGCTTGTTTTGTGGAGAAAGACCTGCATTCTGCAACTGATTCCTAATAACTGTTTGTTGGTCTTAAAAATAGGCAGTGAACTGAGAGACCACTGAAGTTAATACTTGTTAATTTACTGAAAGTAGAAAATGGCAACATATTTAACGCTCCTGTTAGGGGTGTAAAATCACTTGTATTTCTATTGTATATTAAAGTTATCACAGACTGGAACCAATCTACCTGTTTCAAATCTAGGCTCCACTACTTACTAGCTTTGTAACTAGGTAAATTATTTAATATTTCTGCCTTGGGGTCCTGAATTGAAAATAGGGATAATTAGGTATATGTATATTTTCATTTAATAGAAACTAAAGAAAGGATTCTGGGGAAATTCTAATCCTGGTTTTGTGACATGGGGAGAGGGAATTTAAGCTTATGCGTGAGTAGTGTGATTTAGGGAGCATTTCTGGATCTATTCATAAATATTACAGACGATTGCTTAGATAGCTCACATCGGCTGCCCTAAGGACACAGATCTGTTTTGTTTGGCTCATGCTTATAATTTTAATTTCTTAATTAAGGAGCAACACTTTATAATTGAGAGAGAAGTAAAACTCCTAGGTTTCCAACTTTATTTTTTTTTCAAAAGTGGGAGATCTGGCGGTCCTCGACCTACAGTGGCGTGGGGAAAAGCATCTCATTGACCTTCACATAGGAAAGGCGGTGTTCCCCCGTGTTGCCTCCCTAACAGGGAGTCTGAATAGCACTCACCAGTGATCGCTGCGCTTGCACCACTTTTCTCTTGTGCCTGAGCACTGCATTAGCTGCGTGGCCTGTGTAAATATTTGAGACTAAAGGATGTCTCTGTTTCCTGCTTGTTTTACCCTCCTCTCTTTATTACCCTTCTCATTTTCAGTAGCCATTAGAGCTGGTGGTAGGAGATGTAGAAATGAATACAGAAATATAAGAATGGAAGCTACTGAGACTGACATTTTTGCTTAAGGCCCTAAAATACTATATTAAAGTATGTTATTTGAATTTTTAAAACAAGGAATATACCAAAAAAATTTTTTTTTAAAACCCTATCACTTGCTTTTCCAAAATGTATTTTGCCATCCCAAGATATGGTCAGTTTTAAAAACTGCACGCATTACATGTTTAATATAGTTTTATTTCCTGCCTCTGAGGTTCTGTGAGACATTTTCTGGAAGCGAATGGTTAGTTATATTTTTAAAATTCTCAGTGGCTGAAAATAAATATGAACCATCTGACTCAGAAAAGCTCTGTCATCTATGAATGTATCTATAAACGCAAACCTGTTTATGTTTTCAGTCCAAAGTATATCTTAGAAGTTAAGGGAGGGGGAGGCATTAGTAAATCGTTGTATTTATTTTAGAACTTCAAAAGGTAGCTTATTTAAAGGAGAATTTACTTAATAAATCCCTTTCTCATGCTACATCCATAAAGTCGCTTCTCTGCTGCCTTCACCCCTCGAACATTTAAGTTGCCCTTTTGACCGAATGTGTAAACCTTCTTGAGTGTAAGCATCTGGAGCTGGCACTTACTGTACACCCCTCCCCCAAGCCGTTTCCCCCAGGCCTACAGAATAGTTCAGAATTATCATGTCTCAGTGAGATCCTAACTTTGGTCCCCCTTCCAGTCGTGAGCTGAACACAACCCCATTCTTTGCCACCTGTGCAGAAAAGATGGGGTTCATTCCCAAAGGCACCTCATTGCTGTAACTACTGGTGGTGGAAGCCACCCACACCCATGGTCCCTATTTCTGTTCTGCCAGATTATGGGTGCGTGGCAATACCATCTCTAAGGGCAGTGGCCTGGGGGGGGAAATGTGGTGGAGGAGAAGGGAATGCGGAGAATAAACTAGACCCCCTACCACACACACCACAACCCATTTTTTTAAAAATGCTCATTAGATTCTGCTTGTAAGGCTGCCACCAGATTGGCTCTAGCTCTGCCTAGTCGTCCTTCCCTACAAAACTGAGATAATTCAAGGGCTCCTATGCTCAATGGAATCTCATAACTAAAAGCATTAAGCGTCCCTAGTACCATACACGTGGGTGAAAACTAAAAATAAATTTTAAATCAACACATATCTTGAAGACAAGCATCTGAAAGACTGAAGGAATGTTTTACCTCCCACCCAGATATGTTGCATCTTCTAAGTACAGCCCCAGATGTTCTGTCATACCAATGGTATCACTTCTTTTGGACAACCAATAAGGACCCAACTGGGCAGGAATCTATTTTGAACTGCTTCATGTTAAGCATTTTCCTCTGATGATTTATACTACTGTGTCATCAATGTATTTTATTCTGCTTTTGAATTTAGAAAATAAAGCAGCCTTCAAAACTGCAAGTGAATTTTTTTGGCAAAAAAATGGAAGTCAAAATGTATATAACTGTACTTACATGTTACTTACAATTCTATAATTGTATATAATATGCTTCCCCTGTTAAGTACTGAGTATATGTAAAGGTCTCAAAGAAGAATGCTTGAGTAAATAATAATAGCTACCATGTGACTGGCGCCGTGCTAAGTGATTTACATCCATGATCTTACCTAGTCCTCTAAATAACCCTATGAGACATAGTTTTGCTAAATCCATCCCCGCAGAAACTCTATGAATAGGCACCATAACCCTCATTTCACTGATAATAAAAATGAGTGGTAGGTAACTAGCTTATTCATAGCAAAGTCAGGATTTCAAACTATATGTGACCTCAAAATCTCTTAGTGTTTTATCACTGCCGAGTACACATTAAACCTTTCACGAGTCCCTCATCAATAGCACTCCATACAGTAAAGCCTTAAATATTAAAAATCTCGAATCAGTACATATTAGAAAAAGAAAAACTAGACTCTAAGACACATAAATAACCTGATGTAAGGAATTTAGTTTAAAAAATAAAAAGCAAGTCAAAAAGTCCTATTTAAGGTAGGACTCATTTAGCCCAATGCCTGTATGTCTTTTATATTTGCTTCAGCAATGCTGTTCTTTTGAGAAATAAGGTTAACAGTGAAAACTCAGACACACCATAGTATTATAAAGATGAAAAAATTATGTTTATACAATAACATTTTAGAAAGCTTTCAACCTCAAGGGTTGGAAGAAAATGTTTTCTGCTTAAATTTCAGTTAGCTAGAACAGTAACCTTAACAATCACCCATCCTCTGTCCTCAATTCTGATAATAAATTGCTTTTTATTTTTTTAATCTTCACCTGAGGACATGCTTAGAGAGAGGGAGAGAGGGAGGGAGGAGTGGAGGGAGAAGGAAAGATAGAGAGAGAAACAGCTATTGGTTGCCTTCTGCCAACTGGGGATCAAACCTGAAACCTAGGTATGTGGCTTTGACCGGGAATGGAACCCGCAACCTTTCGGTGCTCAGGATGGTGCTCAACCAACTGAGCCACTCTGGCTGGGCTGAAATTGCTTTTTCTTTAGGGAGGGTTGGTAGAGAGTAATAAATGACTGATTAAAAATAGGTGTTGCCAAACGGTATTTACTATATTCTTTGTACTTTGGTTCTTATTACAAAGCCAATTAGGTAAGAACAAGTATGCAAGCAGTTAAATGCCCCAGTGATGGGTTAGAAATGCTGTCCTAATTATCTTTGTCGAAATCCTTGGCAGATATTTTCCCCCTATGCCTTAGTAAATTTTAGGTACACTGTCTGAAACTTTATTCTCTTTATTATGCTCCAGAGAAATAAAGAATATGTTAAGCTATAAATGACATTCATGATCTTACCTGTTGGTTGTCAAGATTCATCAGTGTGAGGCTGCATGTTGAGATGGTCAGTTTTATGTTCATTCCAGAAAACTGAAGATTACTTTTGCCAAGAACTGTTGATAGGAACTTAACTGGAGGCTTTAAAAAGAACAAAACATTCTAAGTTATGAATTCTGTTACAGAATGAATGTTTTTTAAATGTTAAAAATGGGTCAAAGCCCATACTCTTCCTCTTTATTTTACTCTACATGAATCCAATGAGATGAAATGATTTTTTTAATAAAAACTTTTTTAAAAATTGGAATGTACCCTGGCCGGTGTGGCTCAGTTAGTGGAGCATCGTCCTGTACACGGAAAGGTCAAGGGTTCAATCCCTGGTCTGTGCGCCTACGGGAGGCAACTGATCGATGTTTTTCTCTCAGAGTGATGTTTCTCTCTCTTCCTCTCCTTTCCTCTCTCTCTCAAATCAATAATAACATATCCTTGAGTGAGAATATTTTTTTAAAATTGGAATGCAGCAAATTCTTTAGTAAGTAGTGGAATCTAAGCCCTCAGAACTTTTCTCATGCATTCCTTTCTCCCCAAGAACTGGGAGTAGGGGCCTGGTTTATATAAAAGGAATTCCTGTGAGAGTTTAAACTAGCTGAACTCTCAAGCCCTTTGGAACATCACAAGCATTAAAAAAATAAAAAGTTGCTGTCTAGGATTTTTGTGATGATTAAGAATATGAAAAACAATATATCAAAACTTAAGAGATGCAGCAGTGCTTAAGGAGAGAATTTATAGCTATAAACACATTGAAAAAGAAGAAAGACCTCATATCAACAGCCCAGCTTAATAATTTAAGGAACTTGAAAACAATAAACTAAACCCAAAACTAGCAGAAAGAGGGGAAAATGAAAATTAGAGCATAAATAAATGACACCGAGATTAGAAAAACAGAAGAGAAAATCAACAAAACTGAAAGTTGGTTCTTCAAAAAGATCAAAATTGGCAAACCTCTAGTTAGATGGGCTAAGAAAAAGAGAAGACTCATGCTACTAAGATCATAAATGAAAGTGGGTACATTACTCCTGATTCAACAGAAATAAAAAAGGATTATAAGAGTACTATAAGCAATTGAACGCCAACAAATTGGATTACCCAGATGAGATAGACAAATTCTTAGAAACATTAGACCTACCAAGACTAAATCATGAACAAATAGAAAAATCTGAGTAGACCTATAACTACTTTAAAAAACACAAAAACCCACCAGAAAATAACAAGTGCTGACAAGGATATGGAGAAATTGAAACCCTGTGCACTATTAGTATGAATGTACAATGGTACAACCACTATAGAAAACAATATGACAGCTCCTCAAAAAGTGAAAAATAAAATTACTATGTGATCCAGCAATACCACTTCTTGTTCCATACCCTAAAAACCTGAAAGCAGAGACTTGAACAGGTATTTGCACATCCATGTTCATAGCTCCAAAGCAGAAGCAATCCAAGTGCCCATCGACAGATAAATGGGTAAGCAAAATGCATTAGATACATACAAGGGGACATTATTCAGCCTTAAAAAGTAAGAGAGTCTGATACATGCTACATCCTGGATGAACTTTGAGAACATTATGCTAAATGAAAAAGACAAATACTACACAATTCCACTTAAATGAAGTACTGAGAGTAGTCCAAATCATAGGGACTGGAAGTGGAATGGTGGTCGAAGTGTGATTCCTGTTGCCTATTTCCTTTATTCCAATAAAGCAGAGTTATACACACACACACACACACACACACACACACACACACACACACACACAGTAGAATGGGAAGTCATTGTTTGATGAGTGTGGAGTTTCGGTTTTACAGCATGAAAGAGTTCTGGAGCTGGATGGTGGGGATGGTTGTGCAACAACATGAATGTCCTTAAGATCAACAAACTGTACAATTAAAATGGCTAATAGGCAAACTTTATTTTATGTATATTTTACTACAATTTTTTAATTGGGGGGGAAAGGAGTATAAAAAAATGTAAAGTGAAGTAATCTCTCATATGGGTCCTCTGCATCCCGAAAAAGAAACTGAGGCAATCTGCCTGATAAGACATTTCCCTAAGGGAAGGTAACCTTGCCTAAAACAGCCCTTTTTTTCTTTTGCTAAGAACTTTCTTGTCTGGCACAGGTCTGCCCATAAAAACCTTCTTCTATATTGTACAGTTTCTCGAAGCACCTCTCTATTTATTAGATGGGATGCTGCCCGATTCAAGAATCACTCAATGAAGCCAATTAGATCTTCAAATTTACTTGATTGCATTTTTGTTCTTTAAAAGAGGCAGAGGCAGGATTTAAATCCAAGTGTATCTGACATCAAAACTAGTACTCCTTCAGCACGAAATCTCCTTCTACCCATGCGTTATTATCTCACCTCTAGCAGCACCCATGTTTCCATTTGAAAATAGGCCAAGGAGTTTAAAGAGTCTAAAATATTAAAATGCAGAATGTATATATTATATTATTCTAATTGGAAGGTACCAAACTGGTCATCTGGTTCAAGAAGTTAACTTTACAGGAACAAGAATGAAGTCTCAGAAAAAGGAGATACCACGTTTGAAGGAAAGTAAAGACCCAGGCCGAACCCCAATTTTCTAACCTGAAACCCAGGTGCTTTCTTTGCCCTGTCACTCTAGGCACCATAATTTAAGACGACGTCGGGCAAGTCAGAAAAATTTGAGGGACCAGAGCAACTCTGAGTTGTATCTCTAATATCATGCCAACTAATAAAGGCCATTCTGGACCTTAAGTCATATGGTGTAATGAACTATCAGCTATTTTGATATCATCTTTCCCATAGTGGGGAAACATAAAACAAGAAAACCACGCCAATATTTACCTTCCGTTTTTTAATGGCTCCGTTTGCCCCAGGGACAGCTTCACACAGACGACTTATTGCTTCCCTATGGAACAGAAACCATATGAAGACTTAGCGTACTATCTAGCACGCAGTAAATGTCCAATAAACCTTAGCAAGTATTCTGACTAAACTGTACACTCATATAAGGGCGAGTCTGACATAGACATCCTTCCGCACCCCCACAGGAGAGAACACCATGCTTAGAGCTTCTGCAGCTCAACCTCAAGAACGCCCAGCAACGCTCTCACACTGAAAAATTGCTTTACACTAAGCAGTCCTACCATTCACCATCATCTCATTTTTTTTCCTTTGGCTTTTCAGGTTTGGTTTTTAGTGTTGTTGATTTTTAACCAAAAAGGAGGGGCAGAGTTTTATTTTCTGGGAATATTTCACAGTTTACCTTTAGCATAATCCTCTTTGTGGTGTTATGAATAAAAGGCTTCATAGTGTCTCAGCACCAAAGACAATTAAATACAAAACCTGACACTAGAGGAACTCTGAAAGGATAGAGGGAGAACTGAACTTCTGCGTGGCCTCAAATGGAACTTTATTGACTAAGTTGCTGCTACGAGCCATTGAGCTTTCACGTAATTTCACAGAAGAAAAGAAAATCAATAACAGATTTCCCCCTTTGCTGATTTTTCTGCCCTTACTATATATTGCACTTCCTGAGAGAAAGGCACCGCTAAAATAAGTAGTTGTTCCTTAATGGAAGTGGTGAACACGCTGGCGCCCTCCTCTCCAGAAACGCAGTTAGAACTAAGAGCTTCTGTGTCTGGGCCTCAGCATTCACAGCCGCCAGGCTTTCACTCCTGTAATCTGAACCCTCTCCTTGTGGCTTTCAATACGTATATTAAACTTTGCACAGAGCAAATGGAAATTGCTAAGCTCTTTCCCAGACCCCCTGGAGATCATTGTTTAAATTAGTGAACTATATTAACACACACACACTACGGGTTTGATATATATTATTCTATTTCATGAAAATATTTTCTATGAGATGTTTTCAAAGTGAGGATTAGTCAGAGAGAGGAGGAGAGAGAGAAAGAGAGAGAGGCAGAGCAATTCTAGTAGACACTTTGGAAAGATAAGTAGAAGAATTCCCAAAGCTTCTAGGCATCATTTTGGATTTATAATGCATGTTTAAGTTCTGATTCTTTTATTTTTCTGGATAAATGAAACTCGTCTCCAAAGTATTGTCTTGTCTGATGTTTGCATAATTACCTGCCACCAAAAGATAGAATGGCTTTTGGGTTTAGCATATTTTCTCAAGATTCCATGTTTATGTTTCTCTAGGATTCCAAACTTTGTCTCCGGATTCAAATAGAAGGACAGCATAGAGGGCTGGGCTCTTTTGTTTGGCTGATTGATGTTTTGAGTCATCTTAATGATTAATCAAAAATAGATGAGAAATATAATTTATTCAAATTGGCCTTTAGTGTTGCCAAAATAACTAGTGCAGGCACCCCACTACGTTGCTGGTATTTAATAAAGAGGCATTATAAGAAAGGCATTATCAGATTCTTTATGCCATGAGAGCCTACTGGCCTACTGGAGTGCTTCTGTCTAAAAAGCTCCTTGTAAATGGTTTGAAATAAAAGTAGAAGGAACCGTGGGCATTGATGCTGCTAAGTGTAATAATAGTTCTTATTAGAAGTTGTTACTTTTTATATAGGACCCTCTCCTTTTACAAAGTGCTTTCCCAGACATTGTTTTTCTGATTCTCATACCAACTGTTAATATCTTCTAACAAAAAATAAAGTTGTGAATCTGAATGAAAGGGAATGCTTTACTTATTTATTTTAAACCTGGATTTTAATTTTTTCCTTTTTATTGAATCTAGTGGGGTGAAACTGATTAACAAAATTATACAGGTGTCAGGGGCACGATTCTACAACACATCATCTGTACACTGTATTATGTGTTCACCACCCCAAGTCAAGTCTCCATCCATCACTATCTATCCCCCCTTTACCTTCCTCCACCTATCTCCACCCCCGACCCCGACATGCCCTGGGCAATCACCACACTGTTGTCGTGAGTTCTCTCTCTCAATCTAAAGGGAATGCTTTATAGCATGAGCACCTCTCGAGGAGGGTTTGGAAGGAAGAACCTCTCTGGCAGAGTGGAGTTTGGACATTCTACACTGAAGGAAGAATATGTGCAAAGATACCAAAACATAAATTACCATTATATGAGGGAACTACAAGCCCTCTTTGATATTGCTGGAGGTTGAAGTGTGGTAGAACAAGAGTAAATGAAGCTTAACTGAAGTCTGAAAATTTTTTCAGTAAAGGACCAGATAGCAAATATTTTAGACTTTGCTTATTGCAATGACTCAACACTGCCACTGTAACTCAAATGCAGCCATAGACATTATGTAAACAAATGAGCATGGCTGTGTTCCAATAAAACTTTATTTCTAAAACCAAGCAGCTTGCTAACCCATGGATTAGATAATTCACACAAAAGGAGATGGAAATAGTTTCATTTTAAAAAAACACAGGAAAATGTTCACATTCATTATCATTTTAAAATTGAAAATTAAAACAACCTACAAGATGTTCACTTTACTCTCATTAAATTAGCAAAAATGGAAATTACAAAATTCAGTGTTGGGAAAGATGGGAATAATTCCACTTTAGATATATTTATCCATTGCTGGGGACGTTGGTTAGTATTCATATGATCTTTCTAGGGAGTAAGTTGGTAAGATGACATAGGCCATAAAATTTATCAGAGCTTTTTTGGGCCAGTATGGCTCAGTGGTTGGAGCATCGGCCCACACACCAAAGGGCTGTGGGTTCAGGTCCTGGTCAAGGGCACATACCTGGGTTGCAGGTTCAATCTCTGGCCCTGGCCGGGGCCTGTGAAGGAGACAACCAATCAATGTGTCTCTCTCACATCGATGTCTCTCTCTCACTCTCTGCCTTTCACTTTCTCTGAAAAAAGCAATGGAAAAAATATCCTTGGGTGAAGATTAAAAAAAGAAATTAATTCTGTATAAATAGTGATACAGAAAGAGCTTATGAACAGTGAGTTGGCTGAGGTGAGTTTATGTGTGTGCGGTTTATTTCATGTTTTTGATTCTATTAATGTTTAGATATAAAGAGCACATGTTTTACTTTTATTGTGCAGTTGATTGGAAAATCATCTTTTAAAATATTTAAAGGAATGCAAGTAGGTTCGTTTGGCAAGAGTTTTGCTCTTGTGCTGTGGTGATGTGAGGACACATCAAAGGGTCAATGGGGGAAAAAGGGGCATCTGTAATATTTTCAACAATAAAGATAAATTTTTTAAAAAAGGATGTCCCAGTGGAGAGGTGACACAGCCTTTCTCTCTGTTGCCAACCCCCACAGAGAGGTGGGACAATGCTCATGCTACAGATAATGCCAGATCTTCATTGCTCTCTCTGCTCCCATCCCAGCTTAGCCTTTAACTCCTTCACCTTTATAGCCACTAAATCCAGGTCTCTCTTTTCAGTTTATTTGGTAGACTTGCCTGTTTCCTTTTCCCAAAGTCTCGTGAAGAAAATAATCTTGACCAGATTTAGCAACACTTCCACATTAGAAATCCTTGCTTCAGAACGCTGTAGCAGAAAGCCAGGGTTTTAAAGAAGGAGCAGCCCTATGTGTAGGGCCAGGCCCAGCACTAAACATCTCATTTAGTCTTAGCAGTGCCATTTCGAGGTAGGTAGTCTACCCCCATTTTAGAAATGAGTAAATGAAGATGCAAAGAATTTAAACCCCTGACTCCAAATAAAGAGCTGATAGTGGGAGAGACAACATACAAATCCGATCATGTGTCTCTCTCACATCGATGCTTCTCTTCCTCTCCCCCCCTCCCTCCCTCCTTTCCACTCTCTCTAAAACCCAATGGAAAAAATATCCTCGGGTGGGAATTAACAACAACAACAAAGTTGTTTTTTGTGCACCGTGTTCATAGCAGTATTATTCACAACAGCGAAAACGTAGAAGCAACCCAAGTGTCAATCCACAGATGAACAGATAAACAAAAGTGGTCTATGCATAAATGGAATATTATTCAGCCTTAACAAGGAAGGAAATTCTGCAATATGCTACAGCGTGGACGAACCTTGAGGACACTACGCTAAGTGAAATAAGAAGGTCACCAAAGACAAATACTGCATGATTCTACTTATGTGAGGTATTTGGAGTAGTCAAAATCATAGACAGAGCGGAATGGCGGTTGCCAGGGGCCTGGAGGGAGGGAGAATGGAGAGTTATTGTTTAATGGGTAGAGACTTTCCATTTTACAAGATGAGAAGAATTATGGGTTTGGTTCATAATGATGGCACTGAATATATACTTAAAAATGTGTTAAGATGGTAAATTTTATGTTAAGTGTATTTTACCACAATAAAAAAAGAAAAAATGTATTTTAAAAATGTAGTTACTAATTTGAGACTCTAAAGAGAGTCACAGGCTCTCTCTCCAATAAAAGGCCTGTTTGTACAAACTTTTCTATTCAATTTTCGAGGGCCCACCCCGCCCCCTCACCGCCACCCCCAGAAAACCACCTGTGGGTCTCCTGGGAATCCACAGATCCCTGGTTAAGAACCACTACTTTAAAATAACCTCTCAAATTCTGCTTTCTTTGCTGAGATCAGTGTTAACAAATCTCCTGAAACTCCCTCCAGGGAAGACAGATACACGCCTGCAGTTTGTTGCCTTCCTTTACAAAGGTCTTTTCTTCCCCTCCGACTGGGACCAAGAGATTAACTGTAATATTTTCAAGAACAAATAGTACTTTCAACGCTTCTCTGAAGTTGCAGCTACACCCCCTGACCTAAAGCACTGACTTTACAAATGCTGAGGAAAAAGAAAACAGAGAACCCCAAACAGGGACTTCTCACAGGGCGGGGGCTACCCTCCCCGGAGCTGACCTGACATGAGACTTCTCCAGCCAGCAAACAGTCAGCAAACCTCCTCCCTGAGAGGAGCAGAATTTGGGGAGTGTAAATGGCTCAAGATTTCCACCCTGGGAGCCTGTAGCAGAAGGAAAGACGGAGAACCACCCCAC